TACTTTGATCAGACAGTACTCTACTTCATTACTAAGCTGGCTATGTATATTTCTTGTTGGGTTTCTTGACAAAAGGCTAAAATGCTTTTCTTTTTGGGGTTTCCTGCCGATGTTTTTTTTTTTTGGAAAAGTTCTTAATGTCTAGCAATTAATTTTCTCTTCGAACCGTTATTTCTCATTTATTTTTATGATTCTTGAGGAAGTAGTTAGGTTCTCATGTATAATAAATATTGTATATTGAGTTGTCAGATCTAATTACTTGTGTAGTGGAAGTTTTTTATGGTCTAAACTTTCTGCTTCATATTAATATCATTACAATTAGGTAGCATTTGACTAACCCAATTTACAGTCCAAGTAGAAAAAAGTCGATGTAAGAAATGAAAAACCTATAGAAGTTAAAACTGAAACGTCAACAGATCTGACATAAAAGAAAATCTAAACTAAAAATGTAGCCGCTCTTTCCAAAATGCCAATCAAAGATATTCATTTATGGAAATTAAAATTAAATTGCATAACAAATATCGTCTATAAATTAGAAAAAAAAAAAAAGAAAGACTATGATTTACTCATCAAAAAACAAATAATGCTAATAAAAAAGCACCGCCCAACTTTCAGCCATGATAAACAAATTATAAAAAAAATAGATCTGCTGCGAATTAACAGTGAAAACATAAATTAAAATAAAAAAGGAAATTAAAGGGGAAATCAATGGAAAATGAAAGAGCTTAAATTGAGACAATGTAAGTATGTAACAGCTGTTTCAATTTTATCATTACGATTAAGTAATAATTCAGAAACTGGCTAATACGAAAAAAAAAAGAGAAAGTATTCAAAAAAATAGCAAAAAAAAAAAAAAACAGAAAGAAAGAAAGACCTGAGGAGCTTGGAATCTGGAGAACTTGAAACCGAATCTTTGGCCAGATTTATCAGACTTTTGCTTATGTAATCTGAACATTTTTCTTTCTTCTGTTTCAGAGTTTCAGTTTGTTTATTGAAATTTTTCATAGAGTTGAAGAAAATTTACCAAAAATAAAAAACTGTTTCAGTATTTTCACATGGTCTCTACTCTCTGAAAGAAGAAAGGAGAGCGAGAGAAGAGGGACAGAGCGTTAGCTGTTATTTTGTTTTGAAGTTCGTCGTCAGATGTTTGTTTGGGAGCTTTATTTCTTTGTTTTTTCAAAGCTAACCTTGTACTATTTTTGTTTATGAATTCATCCCTCTAACCTATAGGTGTAATTGATCGAATTTGAATTGATACAATATTAAATTTGAACTCCGGTTCGATTCAAAATTTAAAACTCGATTCGAATTTGATCGAATTTTATTTTTTTAATTTGAGTTTGACTCGAAATAAAAATCAAGTTACCCGAGCTTGCTCGATTAGACTCGATTAACATGTAAAAATAAGCTCAATTCTTAAATTCGACAAAAGCTTGATTATTTGTACTCGAACTCGAATTCGAGTTTGAGATATTTTATTAATTAAAATAATAAAATATATTTAAATATAAAAATTCGATTAGACTCATGAATTATTTGAATCAGGTATAAAAATACTCGAATTTGATTAGATTGATGAGTCAAATTACTTGAGTTCGAGCTCGACTCGATAATAATTGAGTCGAATTTAAATTTTATTTGAATCAAACCTAAATAATTTACGAGTACTAATATATCATTTACACATCTACTCTAACATTTACTATTTTGGTTAATACCCTTCTTGTCTTAAACTCTTTTTCTATTTTTTACTTTTCGTTTAAAAAATAAAAATGCATTTTTACAACAAAGTAAATATTTTTAAACAGTTACAAAATTATAATAATATAGTTCAATTTAGGTTTTTTTTTTTTTTTTTTTCTAATTAGAGTACAAAAAACTTAAAATGTCTTCCTTTTGAAATGAATATTTCAGCTTCGATTACGGCACACCTCCAATTACCTTACTCAAGGCATAACTCTATAAATATCCTAATCTTTTCGAGCTTTTTGTAACCCATATATCTCATCTTTGTTTCATCTCTCTCTCTCTCTCTCTTAATGTCTAGTTTCGGCCATGACGATTTACAAGGTAGGGAACTACTTTTCTTTTCTTTCAATCATTTCGCATCTGAAATGGGCTTGGAACTTCTCGCTTCATTACTTTTTGTGGCCGTATCAGATGCCTGAAATGGGTGCTGAAGATTGTAACCTAGGAAGCTGCAATCACTACTACAAGCAAGAGTCGCGTGAGGAAGATGTGGAATGTGCTATTTGTTTATGCAAGATTGATGATGATGATGAGATCAGAGAGCTGAGATGTGACCATCTTTTCCACAAAGTTTGCTTGGATAGATGGATTGGATGCCGGCGTTCTACGTGTCCCATTTGTCGCAGTTCTCTAATTCCTCGGAGACTAGTTGCCGGAATGGATGTCATATTTTTCAATTATTGTTCTTTTGATGATTGTAGCTACTGCGGGACCTGGTGGCTGCGTTAAGAATATATAGTCATTTAGTTGTGGAAAAGGCTTGAACTTTTGATTTCGAAGAAGTTTCAAGCACACCACCTCATTAAGTCATATGACAGATTATAGTTCTAAGGTATTGGTATTACTTAGTATTAAACAAATTTGTTGTAAAAAACAAAAGTTGTAGTACTTCGTTGATGTGGCTTTGTGAATGCTGTTTAATTTGAAGTACTCAAAGAAATGCCAATACAATGAATATTATTATCTACCTTCTTAAAGGAGGATTCTTCTTCCTTGTTGGGAATAGCTATATAGCAAAGCAAAGGCAGAAGGTTTTCCATGGAGATTACTTGCTTTAATCTTCTTTTCTTGTTATTTTATGTTATAACATGAAGATAATCTTAACTATTCTTAGTTTTTACACTAAGATTTCTTAAAATTTATGCAAAGCTGTCGCATAATAATTTTTTACACTAATTTTAATTACTCCTAGGTAATAATTAAATATTTAAAGCTTGAAAACAAAAAAAATATATGTATAGTGACGAGAAAACAACAAAACTAGAAGGCTATGGTAGTATTTAATTTTTCTCTTAAAAAATAAATTCAACAATCAAATCGAATCTAAAATTATTTAAAAAAATTTGCAAAAAGAACAAAAAGTAGTCTTTTTTTTTTTAAATCTCATCTCCAAATTTCAAGATGGAAATTGAAGATATCTAATTAAATTAGAGTATCAAATTTTAACCCTTGGGTGTCTCAATTAACACCAAAAAAAACAAAGGCCAAATTTGCAAAAAAAAAAGAAAAAGAAAAGAATTAACAATATAGCCATCGTTCCAATGGAGGACTACATTTTAGTTCCAAGTACAATTGCAGAAAAATATTTAATTAAGAACAATGTTTTGCGAATCATTAATTTCACCTTGTTGGACTTGGTTGTCTTTTTTATGGCGGCTTTCAAAATTGCTTTCTTCAAAGATAACAGTTTTTTTTTTTTTTTTTTTGCCTTTTAGTTTGTAAATCAGTTTTCAAATTATTTTGACTTTCAAAGCCATAGTTGAATTTTAAAAAATTATTTAAAATATATACAGAATGATGAGCAATACTAATTAATGGCTGAATTAAAATTATGTCCGACTAGACACAATAACATATAGTGTATAAATAATTCAAATTTTAAGATCAATTTTTTGTATATATGAAAGTTTAGGTAACTTAACCATGGTCGATTATTTGAACTGAATCATTATGTTTATGTTTTGAAGCATTGATATAATGACAAATTTTACAACCATGAAGCTAGCATACAACACAAATAAGATTCTTAAATAATGTTGGCTCCCAATTTTAAAATTTTTTATCTAGAACTTGAGTACAATTCACATTGATGACTTTTAAATCCAAATCAATATGATGAAAACTTATTTTTCATAGAAATTTTGCTTTAAAAAATCATTTTAATAGCCTTTCTTTTTTTTTTTTTTTTTGGAAGTGTAATAGCCTTTCCATTTAAAAAAAAAACTTTATTTAAGTCCAAGCACTTAATGATCCTAAAAGATGGAGGATTTAACTAAAATATGATTTGAATAATGTTGCTCTCCTCCTTGTCTTTTAACAAAAAAAAATCATTTATAATATTAAAATATTTTATTTCATAATAAATGCATATATCTTCCTTTCACTTATTGAATTCAAATCTCTTTTTATCGAATATAAATATATCACAAAGAATAGAAAAAAAATGTTTTAATTTTGCAGAAAATTGGCAATCGATGGTTGACATGTCGTGACTCAAAGTACTTTGTAAATTGTCAGTAAAATCCTACGAAACGCATAAATTTTGTCCTAACATGAAATCAATACTCCGTAATAAAACTGAACTCATCTATCATTTAAAAAAATAGTAAAAAAAATATGAAAGCAATGCTTTCTTATTAAAAACAGTTAACAATTGCATATGCCATAGCACATTGGACAAGTTTTGACAAATCCCAAAGCCATGACAATCAGTCACAGAGTTTCCCACATGTCAAATAGCCAAAAAAATAAAACCTACAAATCAAGAAAAATCAACCATTTTTAACCAACAACTAATAAAATAAAATTATTCATTATATGCTTAATACCTTTTTTTTCTTCAAACTCAAACAACCAACCCACCTCGTCTACCTATCTCAAGAACAAATTTTCGATCCTATCTCTTTTTTTTTTTTTTTTTTCTGATCTTGAAAGCCATTACATTAGAAAAAAGTTTATGGGATTCATGGTATAGAAACAAATTAACCTTAGAAATTGGATTCAATTTTGAAAAACAAATACAATATATGATCTGATAAAATTAAATTGGAAACTAATTAAATCATATATAAATGAAAAGATTTAAATTTTATTGATCGGATAAAAAAACTGTCTGAAAGTTACAGACCCATATAAACTTTTTCTGAAACCTAGTGGCAGATTTGCGTGTAATTTCAATTCAATACATACAATGAAATAAAAATTACCTGTAAAACCCAAAAGAAAGAAAGAAAAATAATGAAACCCCAGCAAAAAAAAAAAGAGACGATAAGAAAAGCAGATATTTTTCATGTACATGGGCACCTTTTTTTGGAGAGAGAATCATCAAAACCAGCTTTGAAAAACGCATCAACTTCTTCCCTGTTAACAATCTCGAAGACCTGAAGTTCAGATACCGTTCTTTTGCATGAAACAGCTGTCTTCCTAGGTTTCCTCGGTGCTGCTGGACATGACAAAACTGCTGGGATCTTGTTTTCTTCCGAGGTTGGTGTTAAACACTCGCTGCTTCTACTGTCATCTTGGTTCTTGTTTTCTTCTTGCATTACGACTCCACTTTCATTAGATTGAACCTTGAGTTTCGGTAATTTTATTTTTGCCAAATCTTTGAACAATTCAAGATTTGTAGACATTGTTTTAGCAAACAAAAAAAAAAAAAACCCAGAAATTTCAGCTTTGAAAAATTGAATTTTTTTGTTTGTTTAAATAATGATAGATTGGAGGGCAAAGGAAGAGGAAAGAAGACGTGTAAGGGAAGGTAAGAGAAAGGTTGAAGGAGTGCAGGGCGTTGGATTCTTTTATATTCTTCTCCAAAGAAATTACTGTGGAGTTTTGGCAGCTTTTCTTCAAGATCAAATGAAATAATAATATTGAATTGCGAATCTTTTTTGTGTGAAAACTTTCTGCTCAAGCTGGCTTGGGGTTGGATGAGTTGGGTTTAGGACTTTGAGAGGGTTGCTTTTATAGGCTTTTTACCTCATATTTCTTTTTGCTGTTTCTTTGGGTAGCTGTGGGATGAAGATTTCGCTTTGGCTTTTTCATAGAAACTGGTTTGTATGAAGACTTCATATGTGATGTCACGTCCGCGTATATATTTTATATATACTAATATATACTTTGAATGAATGAATTATACGATGTCATTCATTAATGAAAATTTTTTATATATAGTTTATAAATTTATAAAAATCAATATTTATTTATTAATAAGATAATATTGTATGATTTATTGATCATATATAAGATCTATACATAAATAAGACATATCAAATATAAACTTTTTATCATTTTTTTCAGGTTTACTTGTTTTTGGGAGCTGTTTCTGGTTTAGAAATCTTTCATTTTTCCTAGCAGTATATATTTTTTTTATGTCCTAACTTTTCTAGCAGTAATAAATTTGAAGAATTTATTAGGGAGGTTTTAAAGGAAAATTGAATGGGTAGATTATTACTTCAACTCTCAAATTAAAATGCAAATGTTGAGACGTCATTCGCTCGATAGTACAGAGACAAAAGTCCAGTACCGTTTAATTATTATGGAGATACTTGATTTTTTATCCCTTTAATGATTTAGTGGAGGCTAATAAAAATTACTATTGATTTCCATCATATCTCATTTCATTTTTTTATTATATTATTTTGAAAAATAAATAATAATCGAATATATTAAAAAATGAATTTTAATTCTATAAATTAATTATAACTTATGAAATAAATGACAGAAGAGACCAACGAAATTAATAGAGTAAAATTGAGCCGTTTAATTTTTATTTCAAGCCAAACACAAAGTAAAATTTATAAAATTTAATTGAAATCAAGTTGTGAATTTTAAGTTAAACTTAAATTTAAATTTTTTATTATTTTAATTCGACTCGATGGATTATATTTTTAATAAAAAAAGATTTTTTTTTAAACATACGCAAGAGATATTTTTTCAACAGCCCACAAAAATGCCCTAATTAAAATAAAACGTGTCAACATTTGAAACCTATTTTTATTTTTCCACTTCAGTGGATTTCAATTCTAACATGTGGAACGTAAAACTTACGTCCAAGATAAGGTCGTAACTATTCTATCTTCCGTTCCCACCAACGTGCTTTTAAGTGGCGTGTGAAACACACTCTCCAACGTTTTTTTTTTCCCTCTTCATACGATCATATCTACTCATATTTAGCTTTTTTTAGTTTGGGCTTTTGATTGTTCTTACTTGTGTTAATAATAGGAAATAAATAATTAAAATTTATTTTTAATAATGATAAATAAAGTTGAGGGAGGAACTTGCTAATTTTATTAGTTACATAACTTAATTGTTAGAAAAAAAATTATAGCATCCAAAAATTACTAATTTATGAAAAAATATTTTATAAAAAATAATTTTTAATGATGAGATTTTAATAATTGATGAAGATTAATAATGTCACACTTTTGTATAATAAGACCTATAAAAATAAATTTATTTTTTAAATATATATGTGTCCAAGAGACATAAGTTATATAACTTTCTCTTCTCTCATCTTATAAACTCCTCTTTTTTTTTTTTTATTTGAGATTACAAAAAAATTAAACTTTCTAATAAAAAGGATTAAAAGTGTAACATTTTATTAACAGATTACATCAATTGTAATAACTCTAAATTTTATTCCCAAAATTTAAAATAAATCAAATTAAAAGTTAAGTTTTAAGAAATAAAGTGTCTCATCTTATAAACTAAGTTTCTTTGTAAAATAAATAGAGAAAAGAGGTAAAGAGGGAAGAAAAAAAAGTTAAAACAGCCCATTTCACCCAAATCCCAAAAAAAAAATTCTAAAATTCTTGTAAAGAAATTTGGAAGTTTTCATTAATAAGATACAAATTAATTTCTTTATAAAACAAAAAGAGAATGGATAATGTCCTCAACATTTTACTTCACCTATCATATTATACCACATGGATTTATATTGAGACTCTGTGTTTCCAATTACTATCAAACATATGTAATTTTTAACTTAATTATTATTTTATATCCTAGCTAGGAAGCCGTAATAATATACTCCTACGGGGTGACAGTTAATCTTGTAATTAAGCTTGCGTACGTATATATAGCAGAGATTAGACAATTACAGCAGAACATGTTGTTAATATTTGGTACTTACTTTTTTGGCAAAAAAAAAAGTAATTTCCTTGAAAAAGTCAATGCAAAACTTGCACTATATATAATTCTAAAATAGAGCCTATATATAGTTTTTTTGTTTGAAATAACTCGAGATTAGACTTGATTACTAAAATTAAAATTTCAAGATTCTACAACCGATTACATATGATTATTGATTATATATAGATTTTACCTTAGGTTTAAACAAATTTATTTTATGTATATATCTAGTGAGTATCTGCCTTTTTTTTTTCTTCAAATTGATACTCATTTAACTTTTTAAGACAACTTTACATGACGGCTTGATTTATCTAAATCTCTGCTCAAGTTTTCATCTCATATTTGCTATTTGAGTTAAGCTAAAATGACAGACTTTTTAAGATATAATTCTATATGAACTTTTAATAAAAAAATCTTGTCTTGCACTTTCTTTCCAAAATTCTTATAATTTTTTTTCTAATACATGCAATAAGGAAAGATTATAATAGTTTTACCTCCTTAATTTCTTAATTTGGTTTTAATGGTCATGTAGTTTTTAATTTTGAATCTCTAAATGTCATGGAATTTTTTGAGTTATAACTTAAGCTTTTTTTTTTTTTTTGTATTTGATATTACCCAAATTAATTTTATCACATAATCATTAAAATTAAAAGTTCAATATTTTATTAATAAATGATATACAACTTTTCATAGGTTGATGACAAGCATATTGGATGTCATAAAGAATTCCTTACTATAAAAGAAAAAAAAAGGAACTTTTCTTTCTTTCCTTTTCTGAACTTAATGAACATTATGTTGTTTGAAATTGTGAGTGTACTAACTAGAACTATATATGTTTCATCTACCAATTTAATTATCTTAGTTGTATTTCTGCCATTTTTAACGTTGTCACCAAAACCCACAACGAAATAGTACGTTTCCTTGTCATTATTTATTAATCCACCTTACTTTTTTAAAAGCCTTAATCATCATTTAAATCCAATCTTTCACATATATAGGGAAACAAACATAAAAACAAATAAGCACTGACGATCATTTCCCAATTATTAGTTGCCTTCAATTTTCACAACTTTCCCACGCTCTTGCTTGTAAAAAAAATTTAAAAGCACACAAGCATTTGGCTCAATAGACTCCATTTCGATCACCCATTCATGTCCAATAAAAAAAAAAAAAAAACGGCTTGTCCTTTTGCTCTCTCTCATAAATCTATTTGGCATTGGATACCATGTTAGAGCCTTGAATACTCTTATCTAACCAGATCTCTTCGTTCACTATTTTAATGGAAATTTATTGGATTTGGTTTCACCAAATACCAACTCATCTTCACAAAGAAGAATGAATCTTTCCACGTGAAAACTGTCTGTTTCTGCTTAGTCAAGTTAGCCTCTCATTGCATGGTTTTCACCAATTGCTTTTCATCTCTAATTTTCAAAGAGGTAAATAATTGGATTATATTCCTCAAACAAAACATTACTATCCAATCTCACCCACATTTAAAGCTGCTAAACAACTTTTCTTTTTTGCTAATGGGATTGGGATTTTAGCTTGTCATTTTCCCTACTTTTTTCGTAAGCTGTGAACAATCTTTTTTATCCAGAATTCTGGGGGAAAGAATAAAACCCTAATCAAAGTCAATGGATTAAAACCCTTTTTCAGGTTCTTCATGAACTGATAAAACAAGACAACAACATTCCAAATCTTACCTTGTTAAAACCCTCCACTTTAATCCTTGTGTCAACCTTGTTAAAGAATTTTTAAGCTTTTATTTCTTTTCTATATTCTTTTCATCTCTTTTTTATATCAGATATCACTTATAAGATAAGAAGAGTTCACAACAAGCCTTGTTTTAAGGGTCTTCTTTTCTAAAAAAAATCAACAAAACCAATCAGCTAAGAGAGAGTAGAAAGGAAGGATTCAAGACTTTGAAGGGTTTTTTACTGGAATTTACAAGCAGTTTACTGATCATGAGCTGTTTTATAAGATTGAACTAAACTATGGTAAGACTCAGAAGCTGAAACTAGTTTAAAGATTAAGACCTCGTCGGCTGAATCTTATCGTTTTAATTCCTTCAAATGAAGTGGAAAAAGGGAAGACGCACAAAAATAAGTTGATTATCGTGTAGTTCTTTCCTTTGCTTAGCTGAAGATTGGCTGTTCCATCCCTAGCTGTATTATTTGCATTTGCATGTGCTTTTTTTTTTTTTTTTCTCTTTATTATTTAAACATGGCTGTATTTGATGAAGGGTCTATTTCAACTGGGGCTGTTTTTAAGCTGCAATAAGAGGAATAAAACTCAAGGGAGAAATGGAATATTAATGTAACTCAATTATATGCAAGAAAAACAAAAAAGAAAACAGTGTACGTGGTCCCTATATAGTTATTTATTTTGTCTAGAATAATAATTTTTCTCTTAGAAATGGAATTTATTGTTTTTATCATATACGTATTTTTAATAATAATAATAATAATAATAACCGTCAAAATTGAAGAAAAGTGAAAAACTAGTTAAATATACTATTAAGACGCACAATACATGTACCAAAAAGAAAAAGGAAAAAAAAAAAAAAAGACACAGTGCTATGCACATGGTTTACACTGATTGAGTGAAAGGATAAATAGCTTTGATTATGAATATAAATTCAACTGTCGTGCTCTAATAAGGATAAAGACGGTTTGGTATGATTATAATCTTTCATGCAGTTTATATTAATACAAGAAATAATTTCTTAAGCTATACAAATAATATAAGGGTTTTTTTTTTCTAAAATATGTTAAATGGCTCAGATCCGGATATGAGAAGACATAAATAATACAAATGGTATAGTTAATGACGAATCTTGATATTTGATTTTGAGAAAATCAATTAATATTGTACTAAATTTTAATTTTTTATTAATTTATCCTATTATATTATTAATATATATACTAAAAAATCTTACAAAATATATACAAATTTTTAATTTTTTCATTAATTTATCTTTGGCTTGTATTACAAGCCGTCCTGGGTATAGCCCTCCCATTTCCCGTAACTTCTGCTTACTGAAATTAAAGCAGGATTTATATAGGTATTGGGTAAAAACCATCAAAATATTAGCAGTTAAACTAGTTGCCACTTTCGGTTTTCGGTGGATAATGGCATCAACTATGTAAAATTTGCAAGAAATGTACCACAAAAAAAAAAAAAGAAAAGAGTATATTTTCAAGAATAGTATTATTTATTCATTAGCGACCCCTCTGGCCTGCATTTCTCAATTGTTAACCTCTTCTTCACTTCTCTCGTAAAATTTTATTTCCTTCTCTTAGGAATTAAAATATTAGAATACGAAGTAATTCCCTTTAATTTGTAAATATTTCAAGTAAAGTATTTTTGAAAATTCCAAAATAAATATAAAGTTTTAACCGTTTAGAACATCTGAAAATCTAATCAAAAGATTTAAATGAAACAACCTATAATTGGTTGATCTAAATAACAGCAGCTTTTAAGAACGGTGGGCATTGCAACGCTGTAACATTTATGGAATTTGCTTCCCGTTCTTATTATCTCATAAAACTATATCTTTATTACATCTGTACAGTTGGCATAAACGGATACACCTGCCTTGATTTCATTGGCATCTGTTTTTGCTTTTATTACCTTTTTTTTTTTACCCTAAATAACTCCACTGTAGCTGAATTGATACGATGGTTACCTACTGAACATTTAAGAATTAAGCAATGGCTTCCATGACCATGGCTACAAGGTTAAAAATGTGGCATTAGTATTACAACAATTTGCTATAAAAATCACATACATATTAATCTTCGCGTTCTTGATAAGACATAGATGTTAGATTCATATCAGGATTGTACAAACGAGCAAGAATTATCTTCCATTATAACTTTATGTGATGGAAGAGAAAATTTAGTTCTAGTTTAATATTGCTGTTAAAATTAATTTTTGTATACTTTTGATTTAATTGTAATGCTAAAAGGATGATTTTTCAGTTTAAAAACTTAATTTATAAATTCAAACAAAAAAAAAGCTCTTCAAAAATGTTTTTATAATAAAAAATTACATTTGAGATAAAATATTAATATATCTCTATGTTTTTTAATATTTTATTATTATATATATTTTTTAATATTTCAATTACTTGTCATATTTTTTCACATCAATACTAAGTACTTAAAATTTTTAATCGTACTTTCTTGTTGTACTTTTTAACACTTTTTACTTTTCGGATCATACCAAAAATGCTAAACGCGCCCTTATTCTCCATTGTTGCATCGGCCAATAAAACCTTTATTTGAGTGTAAATCTTAGACAAAACTCAATCATTATAAGTTAATAAAATGCAGCATAAATTTGGTTTTAAAAGAAAAACAAGATAGGTGACGTGAACAACTATGAACCTTTTATTAGTATTTTTATACATGCGTCATTTAATAATTTAAAACAAACAGCGAAGATCTTCACTATTTTCCACTTTTAAGTCACGAAAAACATCATCTTCCGTTTCCATGACCTTTTTATGATTACAGTTCTAGCTTATGATAAAATACCAAATTATTGCAGCTACGTAGCTTTGTTAACTAGGATAATAGGCAGCTCAAATCTTATGGCACTCACAACTAGGCAACAAAGAGTTAAATAAACATTAAGATGTTGGTTAGATTGGTATAGAATTTGGCTGGGGTGCCACATCTATAAATATTAAAAGTACAAATATGATCATGAACAGGACTCGCAGATTTCGGATGCATAAGCAGGGATCCAGAAAATCACATTTCCCCTGCATTTCTTGCTTGTCATCCTACGTACTCGGCACATCAAAGAAAACGGATGAACATATACCTATAAAAAGTACCGCTCGATGGCATTTTAAGTGCAATCTAATTCCGTTCGTGAAATAACGTTTGTTGCATTCATAGCATTCAACTCGAATTTGAAGTCCCAAGGAACATTGGACTAACTATAACCATACTACTAAATGGCTTGAGTCGCAAATCCAATTCTGTCCATGGAATAATAAGTGCCCCATCACAACATTCAACTTGAGCCACCGATATAACCAGGGAACTCTTGTAATACCATAATCAGTATTTGGTACCGTATAAACATTTAGCATGCTAAATCGGATGAAATTGGGAACATAACAGAAAAATGACCACATGCACCAATGTGAGTAAAACCCTAGTAATTTTTTTTTACTCTCCAAATTCAAAAACATGCCAAACTGCTACTCAAACCAGAATTTTTTAAAGGCTGCAATAAAGGAGTTGAAAATAGCCCAAAAGGAGTTAGTTTCGGATTCTGCAGCACTTTTTGGTGTCCCTTTCCATGATTCACTGTCCATAGAAACCAACGTAATGCTAAGGAACTATATAATGTTCAAACCTTTGAGTAAGACTGATTCAACTTAAAGTATTGTGAGCAAAGACTAGGAATACTTACAGATTAATTCTGTCTAACGTTTTATCGGTTCCTCTCTTGGAATTGACATGCTGCACATCAACTTTACTTTCAACCACAACAGCCCCCTCAGATGTTGACTTCCCGCTGTTGCTGCCAGTGTAAGTGCCTCGAATGTTTGGGTGGATGCCATTGGAAGCATTTATTGCCTGATAAAAGCAAATGATCAATGAATCAAGAAAAAAATTGTTGCAAAATGTTTCCAAGGATAAATAAAGATTAACTATACACTGTCAAGTTTTATAGGACATTTTTTGAGTTCAGATAACATAAAGGTTCTAAACCATCAGGTTCTCATTCAATCCACCATTAGAATATTTCTCATTAATCGATTTTTGTTCAAACAAGACAGGTTTACTATTATGAAACAAAAAAAATTAAGAAAAATATCCCCACATAGACTGCAGAAGATACCACGTAGTTTAGCTACAAAGGACTAATTTTTTTTGTTGAACATAAACAATCATTACTTTAACCTAAGAAAAATCAATTAACTTTCTCCAACTAACCCATAATATTTTTTATTATGGATCACAACTGCAGAAAGGCAAATAAACTACGAGCACCTAACTCAACTTCAAGTCTTTATTAGGTTCACCACTACTGCATACCTACAAATATATGGAGAAACCAAGAAAGGTGATTTAAAATTTGCTCCCATAAGACACCAAAAGTTGTGCAGGAATGAATTGCCATGCATCTTGGTCATGTTAAATTATTAGCAGCATCATTTTATTTCCAACAAACATGGTGTATAAGGATGCATCTTGGTCATGTTAAATTATAAGCAACATTTTCATTTTTCAACAAACATACATTTGTTGAAGAGCCTAAACTTTAAAATGCATGGATGGAAGGGGACTAGAGGAGACCAAAGGAAGTAAAATGTTTTTCTCCACCTAGTTTGTTTGTGTTTTGGGCACACATGACATATCTTTCAGGAGTAGAGAGGGTTTGGAAGTGAATCAAATCCCTCCAAACCCACACTTTTGGAATTCCCTCAGTAACAAGATTTGAGAGTGTAGTATTCCCTTCAAATGATGTCAGCTTTTGACCCCATTTATACCCTTCAATTTTTTAATGATTTCATAGCAAGGCACAGTGTTGATAGCACATAGATTCCCTCCTCTTTCCAGTGCTCTACTCCCTGTAACTTTTCCCTATTTATTCTACCTAACTTACTTCAAACTTCCTACCACTGTTATAAGCAAACTTACAATTACTGAATTAGCAAAGGCAAACAAATATCCAAATAACATTAGACAAAACCTGTTAATCAGGCATATTTAGCAATGCATTTTGCTTGATGTCATAGACATGCACAAAGTTTTTGGACAAAAGCTCACCTCTCTAACAATTGCTTGGTTTTGTTCTTTTGTTTCAGATGTTAAAACATCATTACAAGATACCTCTAGTGCTGCACCATTGTGAGTATCATCAACGGCAGTTTCCCCGGTAGAGCAATCTGAGCTTTCTAATAGTGGATCTGAAATGTTTTCCACCACTTTCTTATCGGCTAAATCAGAGTTGTTCTCTGACAATAGATCCACATTGTTTTCCACTTCTTTCTCATATGTCAAAATAGAAACCTCAGAGGAATTCATATCATCTAACTTAGAACTGGCATTTTCTGGACTCACATTTACCTTCAAATTTTCTGTTTGATCCAAATTTCCATTTAATTTCATTACTTCGCTAGAGCTTCCATCAATGCTGTCAGTTGGTTTAGCAACAGGATGCAATGGAAATGTCTCTACTACTACATCTGCTGTTATCTGAGTGACTTTAGATGTGATTGCAGCCAGTTCTTTACCACTTTTATCACTTTCCAGAGGTTCAATTACTTGCAACTCTACAATTGCCACTTTATCAGTTCCATTGGTCACATCTACAAGATTCCCATTAATAATTTGCTCACTGTCAAACTCTTTATATTCAGATACCATAGAAAGCCCAGTGACCAAAACTGATTCATCACTTGCATCCTTATGATGACTAGAGACAAAAGAACTTCCATTTGATTGTATGGGCAAAAGAGTTTTGGGTGCTGTGGAAATTGAACCCAGTGGATTTTGTTCCAAGAACTGATCAGTGTTCTGGTCCCCTTCAGTCAACTTAGCAGGACCCAACACTCTATTTTCTTGGATTATCTCTCGCACAATCTCCCGTATTATGTAGAAAGACCCACCAACTTCCTTGTGGGTGAGGTTAAGAGATGGAAAATTTTCATTGTTTGATTTCTGATACCTGCAATAAGTTCATCCATGGGTGAGTTTAAGAGATGGAAATTTTCCATTGTTTGATTTGTGATACCTGCAACAAGTTCACCAAATAAATGGTACAAAAAGATAGCAAATAAATGGTACAGAAAGATAGCAATCACTTCAGATTTTGGTTAAGGAAACTAGAAAGTTTAACATAGTTGTTGAAGAGGTGAACAGCCTATAAGTTTAAAAATCCACATGAATAGACATAAATGAAGAGCCAATAACATAGAAATGGGAACACCAAATTGGATGCAACATGGAAATTGAACCACTCAACTCTACATAAGTTTAAAAATATAACATTGCATACTGAATGAACTATAAATGATGCCCCCACCAAGAATAAAGCTAAAGGATCATTTCAAGTTCATGAAATGCCAAATTTCAATTTTTCAGTACTAAGTCTGCTGAAAGTTGGTTGATTTAGAGATTGCATTTGCACAAAAATCCTTACATCAAAACAAAGCATATTCAGTTTGAAAAGAAGGCCAAATGTATCTTAGAATACAATCTTCAAAGAAATATAATAAATTTAGGCATTGAAAATAATACTTATCACAATCTTCTTAATAAAACATAGTATTTTACAAAGTTTTGAGGATATTATTAAGATAGTCAAACTAGGACCCACAAAAAAGAGGGGAAAGGGGCAGGGTTTAAGTTGTTTTACAGAGATTTCTATTGAAATTCTATCAAAATACACAAAGTGGACACTGATACAACGCTTACATTATACAGGTTAAATGATCCACCATTCACCCACTTAAAGTTAGCATTGATAAGAGTCAGTTTCCAAGCAAATATATTAATTTAATACTCAAGAAGCAGCACACAACTCACATTTTAAGCAATCACAGGCATTCTGCAATTAATTTATTAGATACTTTCAGAAGATTCATATTGCTAAAATATCCTACTATATACAGAATAATTATTTTATGACTACCAAGGCATGGGGTATATGGAAGGGCATTGGAATGACAAAAGATGATACAACTAGATCACCAGTAGTAGCAAATAAAATGAATGGGAACCGTGTGAGATTACTTCTTTATAAAAGATTCAACCATTGCCTTCCTTTCCTCCTTTGAACGCCGAATCCGAGACTTCTTCCCTCCAGACTCATTGCACTTAGCTAGGGCAAATGTTTGCCCAACCCATGCACCTTTTATAGCATGCATGAGAATAAGAAGGTTTACCAGCTTAGAGCATTACACCTACATGATATAGAATCAAGATCAAGATTAGATAAGTCTAATCCACAAACATAATGCCTTTCATGATGAAGCTCAAATTATGCAATCCAAAGAGAGACATAGTGCATCAACATTCACTTGGTTATTAGCAAGTGCACCATAATAATATCTAAATTTCCATTTTAAATAATGATAAGATTAACAGCAACTCAAGGACCCAAAAAATGACACTCAATTATGTTACAAAAGGCCAACCACAGATTCCTTCCAAACCTACATTGATTTATGAACACATTCATTCTAGATATGGACAAATGATAACACAAAAAGAAAAAACCCCCCAACCCCAAGAAGAAACAATGAAATTAAAAAATAAAAAAATGGTAGGAAGGATCATGACAAACCCTGGTTAGCTATTGCACACAATATCTGGTATTGCATTCAGTAACGGTTTCTTCACCTTATTTCCCTCTCCCCAAACCAGCTTGCAAGTGCATTACTCATCCAATACGTACTCCCCAAACTTACCCAGATCCCTCCTGTAAATAGGCTGTGTCTAAGACTCGTGTAAAGGTAGACTATATCTCTGAACACTCAGCTTAGCTATATGCATGGATCTCACAAGCACCAGAACAGATATATGATGTATTATATTAGCTCAATCATTGAACAAAGAACCTATTACTAGCAATGAATTTGCAGGATTCCTCCAAATATTTTTACCAAAGAGTGGACATTTGCACTAGGTATGGCAGATCCCTGTTTGTTTCCTTCCTGATGTAGAACAAATAATCTTAAAAAAATTTAAGACAAAATGAAAATCTCAATCAAAATTCTCCAATCTCAAACCAAATAATCAAGTCTTAATATCAAATTCTCAAATTATGAATAGCAATAATTTATAGCTACTAGAAACTGAAAATAACAAAGATATTAAAAAGCTAACTCTTAACTCTAACATCAGCTTGAAAACACCAAATGTAGCTCTAATACCCAAATTTTAGAAAATAAGCAAAACAATAATTGATATAGAATAACCTAAACATTATAAAATATCCTTCCATACATAATACACACACGTGTATTACAATTAGCGAAAAAAGGTAGCAAACCCCAAATATCTTAAATAATATAATCCTCAAGCACTTGTTTACATCCTTCGCTTCCTTTCTAGATACATTTTACAACCCAATAAATATCTTCTTTTTTATTCTAATTCCTATCGCTACCTTTATGAGGAAGCTCCCTTTCTTCTCATGCAAGTCAAACATAAAAACTTCAAGTTTCTATTTACAACGAGAGAACAATATCTAAAATTTCACATGTATCCATTGATTCTGATGAGGCCCATCTACACCTGAATAGAAGGGAACCTCTCTCCAGTAAAATGGCAAAACAAACAAAAGAAAAGCAACAAACAGCACCATCCATCTATATAAGATAGGAGAATTTAACAAGAAAAATATCAGCTCAGAGGATGTGCACATTTCTCAAACTGGTATGATAAGTCCCAAAGTTTTCAAAAGCAGCAGTTCTAAGAAAACACAGAAATTATAGATCAGCAAAAGTTTCTGAATTCAACATACTAACATCAACATAATGCAACTTTTTTATATAAAGTTTTTTTTTTTCTCTAGTTCCAAACAATCAAAATTTTGGCTCCATCGTAAGTCACATTTTGTTATTTTTTGTGGGAAAACACTTATTTAAAGCTGATTGTAATCTTGTAATCTGTATATTTATATTTGTATCTCTAAAATTAAGTATTTGTATCCCTAAAATTAAGGAAAAAATTAGGATAAACAATCCTTCAATTATAGGATCACTTTTTAGGAAAATTTAGTTTCCTAGTTTACCCGCTAGTTGTATATAAATCTAATGTCCTTGTATAATTCTTCATGAGTAGCTTTTTAATATATATTCAGTTTTACTCTTAATTTTCACACAGTTTTATTTCTTAATTTTTGCACATGGTATCAAAGCTTTAGGCTCTTCTTAGGAAGCAAAATTTTCAACCTTCATTGTTGACTTCTATTTTAGGCCTTCATTGCCGAACCCTGTTAAGGGCTTCATAGCCATTTTATTTTTTCATTCTTTAGCCTCCATTGCTAAGAGTCGCTTCTGGTTATATCTTAAGAGTTGTTTCAGTTCAAAGAAAGATATCACTATCACCCAATTTGAGGAAGTGCCAACTGAGAATATCACCGAAGTACTACAGATATATCGAAAACAAAGAGAGTTGGACAAAAAGAGATTGAAAAGCTAAGAAGCCTATTGAAAACCCTTGAAAAGCCTACTGGGGTATGTCCCTTGGGTAAGGTCTCTAGTTCAAATAAAGTTTTTGATTCTCATAGATTAAATGTCTCAGTTAAGCCTGTTACAAGTTCTTGGCTTATTGACTTAGGAGCCACAAACCATATGACACATTCCTTACAGAAGTTTAGTACATATACCCTGTGTCCTAGTAATAAAAAAATTGTTGTTGCTAATGGTTCACTTACTATAGTGACAGGATTAGGAGTTGTTCAAATTAATCCCTCATTTGTTCTTAAAAATATTCTTCATGTTCTTGGATTGTCTACTAATCTGATATCTATACAAAAACTTACCAGATATATGAATTGCAAAGTGACTTTTTATCCCTCTTATTGTGAATTTCAAGACCAAAGTTCGGAGAAAAGGATTGCACTTGCTAAGGAAAAGGATGGGCTATACTATCTTGAGACATCAAACAACGCAAGTAATATCAAGAATAATTTATCTGTCATTTCTTTCTAAAAAATCTCCCAATAAAGACAAAATCTGGCTTTATAATTTTCGTCTTAGACATCCTTCTTTTGGAACTTTGAAAAACATGTTTCCTTTTTTGTTCAAAGGATTAAATGCCAAAAATTTTCATTGTGATGTTTGTGAACTTGCAATGCATAGACGTGTGTCTTTTCCAATTAGCAATCAAAGAAGTTCTACTCTTTTTTACTTGATTCATAGTGACATATGGGGTCCCTCTACAATTCCTACATTTCGGGTGCAAGGTGGTTTGTTGCTTTCACAGATGATTGTACCAGGATCTCTTAGATATTTTTACTTAAATCCAAATCAGATGTGAATAGTGTATTTTTAAGCTTCCAAAACATGATCCAAAATCAATTTGGAGTGAAAATCAAGAGATTTAGGTCTGATAATGCAAGAGACTATTTTAACCAGAGTTTATCTACCTATTTCCAAATGGAGGGGATTATCCATGAGTCACCTTGTGTTAATACTCCACAGCAGAATGGAGTGATAGTGAGGAAACAGTCATTTACTAGCCACAACCCGAGCTTTACTTTTTCAAGTAAACGTACCCAAATCCTGCTGGAAGAAAGCCGTTCTCACTGTCACACATATTATAAATAGGTTACCTTCAAGGGTTTTGGGATTTAAAACTCCTATGGAACTACTCTCATAATTCTATCCCAACTTTAATGCCACAAACAACCTCACACCTAGGATATTTGGTTGTACATCATTTGTTCATGTTCACATTCACAATAGGGGCAAGTTGGATCCCAAAGCAATTAAGTGCATTTTTGTGGGATATTCATCAACTTAGAAAGGGTATAAATGTTATCATCCTCCTAAAAAAAATTATGTGTCTGTAGATGTCACTTTTGAAGAAAGTAAACCATTTTTTTCTCAACCTTATCTTCAGGGGGAGACTTCATTTATGGAAGATAAGGATAAAGACTTCTTTTTGCTGGATTTGTCCTCTTGTTCAACATTTTCACCTATTAATCCTTCTGAGTCGAAATCTACTTCTTCTGAGTCCAAGTCAAATACTGAATTTGAGTCTGAACCCATTCCAAACACAGAAGATGTGACAAAAGATAATATTGTTCTTGATTCTATGAAGGAATTACAAGTGTACTCAAGAAGGAAAGTTTCGAATCCTGAACCAATGCCAATGTAAGAACCTGATCCTAACTTTGGAAATGAGGTAACTACAGTCTTTGACTCTGTTTCTCAAAATGAGCATGAATCTCCTAAAACTATAACTAGTGATTATGATCTGCCTATTGCCATTAGGAAAAGAACCAGAGAATGTACTAAGCATCCACTATACCCAATCTCTAATTTTGTGTTATTTGAAAATTTCTCCTCATCCCACAAAAATTTTCTTGTGAGCCTAAACACTATTTCTGTTCCAACTACATTATCCGAGGCATTATCTAGTGAGAAATTGAGGCAAGCCATGAAAATAGTAATAGAGGCCTTAGAGAAAAATAAGACATGGAAACCGGTAGAGTTCCCTAAAGGAAAAAATCTAGTTGGGTGTAAATGGGTTTTCACTATAAAATACAAGGCGTATGGTACTATTGAAAGGTATAAAGCTAGGTTAGTGGCTAAGGGCTACACTCAAACTTACGGAGTAAATTATCAAGAAACTTTTGCTCCAGTTGCCAAGATGAATACAATTAGGATTTTGTTATCATTGGCTGCAAATTACAATTGGCAGCTTCAACAATTTGATGTAAAGAAACAAACAAAGTATGCAAGCTGAAAAAGGCTTTAAATGGCCTTAAACAATCTCCTAGGGCTTGGTTCGAAAGATTTGCCAAAGTGATGTTAGCAATAGGATATAAGCAAAGTCAAGGAGATCACACATTGTTTATCAAGCACTCTAATTCAGGGAGAGTCACAGTTCTATTAGTGTATGTTGATGATATAATTGTAACTGGAGATAATGAAAAAGAGAGAGAATCTCCAAAACAATGTTTGACTAGAGAATTTAAGATAAAAGAGCGAGGGAGATTGAAATACTTCATAAGAATTGAAGTAGCTTACTCACGGCATGGTATTTTCATCTCACAAAAAGAATATGTAATGGATCTTTTAAAGGAAACTGGGAAGCTCGCATGTAAACCTGCAAATACCCTTATAGATCCTAATCATAAACTTGGAGAAGCTAATGAAGATGCTGCTATAGATAGAGAGATGTACCAAAGATTAGTTGAAAAACTCATTTATCTCTCACATACTAAACCTAACATAGCATATGCTGTAAGTGTGATAAATTTATGCATAGTCCTAAAGAAGTGCACATATAGGTTGTCTACCATGTATTGCACTATTTGAAGGCCAATCCTGGAAGAGTTATCTTATTCAAAAGAAATTCAGGGCTGGTTCTAGAGGCATATACAAATGCTGATTATACAGGTTCAGTAACTAATAGAAGATCCACCTCAAGCTACTGCACTTTCCTAGGTGGTAATCTTATGACTTGAAGGAATAAAAAACAGAATGTGGTTGGCAAGTTCAAGTGCTGAAGCAGAGTTCAGAACAATGGCTCGAGGAATTTGTGAACTACTATGGTTAAAGATTATCCTAGAAGACTTGAAGATCAAGTGGGATGGACCAATGAGACTCTACTGTGATAACAAGTCTGCAATAAGCATTGCACACAATCTTGTGCAACATGACAAAACAAAACACATTGAAATAGACCGACATTTCATAAAGGAGAAACTAGACAGTGGGTTGATTTCTACACCGTATGTATCAACCAATGGTGAACTTGCAAATGTATTGACTAAAGGTCTTAGCACTACAACATTTCAAGAAATTATTTTCAAGCTGGGAATGAAAAACACCTATTCACCAGCTTGACGGGAAGTGTGGGAAAACACTTATTTAAAACTGATTGTAATATTGTAATCTGTATATTTACATTTATATCCCTAGAATTAAGGACAAAATTAGGATAAACAATCCATCAATTATAGGATCAATTTTTAGGAAGATTTAGTTTCCTAATTTACCCAGTAGTTAGTTGTATATAAATTTAAGGTGCTTGTATAATTCTTTATGAGTAGCTTTTCAATATACATTCAGTTTTACTCTTAGTTTTTCACACAATTTTATTTCTTAGTTTTTTCACATTTTCTATTTGCATTTTGTTTCCTATAAGAGTGCTAAAAAGTAAAGGAAAACTCTTAATGGATTAAAATGAACAAAAATACTAATATGAAACAATAATCCTAATGATTACTCTAAATTAAAGAAAATCATATACTTTTTTCTCCAAGAAATTACAATTTTAGTTTTTAATTCTCCAAAAATATTAGTATTCCCTTATTTTCAGGATTTCTATTCCAAAAAAAAAAAAAAAAAAAAAAAAAAAAAAACAAGAAAATGAAGCCTTACTCATCCCAGCAAAGCTAACAGCTTGAGCCTTGAAGCCATGTTCAATTCAATTCAAAGTGTTGCCTTTTCAGTAAAATAACTTCAAAAAAATAAAAAATTTTAAAATTGAACCCAAAATGCAGCAGTTCATTTCCCGGTGTTAAGTTAATATGAATAAGACCCACTTCATTTCAATTTTCAAGTATTAGACATTGCAAAACCAACTTCAAAAAGGGGATAAAAACTGGAAAAAAAAAAAAAAAAAAACCACTACTTCGAGGAACTAACTAACTATCAAATTCCCATAAAAAGGTTGAATGTCCAAAAACAAGACAAGACAAACACTCAAACCAATAACAAATTGACCCATTTTTTAAAGTGCGTAGGCAAACAAAAACATCTTACACAAACAAACTTTAAGCTAATATATATATATATATATATATATATAAACCCAACAAATGAAACAAACAAGATAATCAGATTTCTTAGGTGGAAATGAATTTCAAAGATCACCCAGAAGAAAAAAATAAAAAAGCAAGCATAAATGTAAGCAGAGAAAGAGTGTTCACCTGAACATAGATAGAGAGAAAGAGAGATTGGCAATTTTTGTTTTTTAATTGTATCGGGGGTTTAGAAAAAAGTTTTAAAACCCAAAGTAGTAAATAAACGAGGCAGTAAAGAGAGAGTAAAGAACGACAGTAACTGCGTTCCAACTGGTTCCTGTTTGCGGGCCGGGATATTTACTGAAATGTACCTTTTTTTTTTCTTTTAATTTGTTGGGTCGGCTAAGTTAGACAGTGGTGTCTGGTTAGATCACTCGTAAAACCTCTTCATTTAGGCCTTTTTTAAAAACTTATTATTAAATATTTTCATATTATTCTTTTAATATTCTTAAACTTTTAAATTAAAATTAAATAAAAATTAATTATCTAATAATAAAATATATTAATGAATGAAACTCTTATTTTAAATTTAAATTAACATTTAATATAAATCGAATCCATTTCAAATTTGTAAGGTGATCTTTTTATATTAATTGAGTTCTAACTTAATACAATTATCTTATTTTTAAAGATTAATCTACCGAATCATTATAAATTTTTCAAAGCCATGTATTAGTTACGGAATACCAAAATTTCCTTTAGTTGATTATCAAACGGTTGGATGCGAATATTTTTGACATTGGGTGATGAAGGAATATGATGTAGCTGAATCTTCGGTTAAACAGTTCGTCATTCAAGCACCAATCCCACACGATAAACTAACGTTTCAACTGACTTACGAACTTTGAAAACAATGGTGAACTTCTTCTTCTGGTTCTAGATATGAATGAAACAAGGGTTGTTTTGGTAATAATACCAAGACCAAGCATATTAAGGAGAAGGAATTATGATAAAATTGACCATTTTCTCAACCTTTTCGTTTCTATGCATCCCGAGACCAACTTCTGACGAATACTTCGGCACGGAAAACCAATTAAACCAGAAAAAAAAATTCCTACATTAACATTTGCCTTATCAGACTGTTAACGGAATAAATAATAGCAAGCCTAAGCAGAAAGTAAAACTAATTTCGGATCAAAATTGCCTTTCATTCCCCATCCGCCCCCCCTCCCCCAAGAAAAACAAAAATATACAATGAAGAAAAAATATATCTACTAGCGTACTAGCTCCAAAAAAACAGAGAGAAAAGAAAGGAATATATCTACTGAATTGAATGTTCTGTACGATGAAAAAGAATTTCTATCTGCCTTGTCGTGTTAACCAAAAAGCTGGAATGCAGTATGCCTCATTAGCTAACCCTGTAAAAAGGCTTGAATCACTAGCGAACTGATACTGGGAAGCTATTCTTGTCTCCCCTCCACTCCTTGAAAGCAGTTTTACTTGATAAAATGAATGAGAAGAATCAAACGTCTGGAATCGTGCTGTTATATGAAACTCGGCCAGCAGTTTTTCCGCTTCCTGGTTTGAGGAAAAAAAAAAAAGGGTGCAATAGCTGTGTTAGGAGTTTGGTGTTTCTGAGTTCTATGGTCATCTAATTTAGCTTCTAGATATCCTATAATCCAAGTGATCTCTGCTTGTACCCATTCTTCATCCTTTCCAGTAGTTTCTCCTTAGTTTTCCTCTTTTTCTCCATCTTCATCCTGTATCTTTCTTCCCTCTCCCTCTCATAAATTCCTTGCCAATGCACTTCTCCTGTCAATGGCCACAACCACATCTTCCTTGGCTGGTCATCATCATCTGCAGCCTCTGCCAGATCTCCATCCATGCTCTTTATTAATGTAAAGTTAAAATATCTAGCCCACATAAATTCTTTTCGTTGTTCAACTGGATGTTGCTCTTCAAGCAAACCTGAGTGTGGCTCAATGTAGACCATCCTCCGCCCACTATGGTAAGCCCAGACATTGACCAGAAGTTCCAATACACGACAGTAACAGTGCTTTTTCTGCCCATAATTAAATAAACCAAGAAGAGCAATGTTATGATTAGAATCTCTCAATGGAACCGACTGATGTTATAGGAGCCACACAGTTTACCTCAGGATCTGAGGAACCCAACAAACACGTATTGACTCCACTAGAATTGGTATGCAAGGCATCAAGAGAGTCAACAAACATCCTGCAGTCCGATTATACAAGTTTCCATCATCATTTACTGTACTGTGCTCTAAAAGGATATTGAGAAAGAGAGATAAGATGCAATAAAATAAGTAGTGGGCTCTGTAAATTACCGTGAAAACATTACAAACTCCAAAAAGGAAGTGGTTGGCATCACCCAGCTATGCAAGGCAGACCAGTGACCATCATCTTTGGGCATGGGAGGAAGAGCTTCCATATCTAATGGCAAAATATACATCTTGCGGAAGGCGTTTTCAAAAGCAGTTCTGCAGGCATTTAAAGGAATCTTCTAAGCCACTCCATATACTTTTCATATGGTAATAAAAAATAAGGTAATAAACATGCCTATCTATTGCAACTTGAATCACAAAGCAACAGTTGCATGTCCATAAATTCAGCCACTAACCTATCTAGACCCTATCAGACCCAGGCTTGGTCAAGAAATTTTTTCAATTTTTTATCAGGCAGATGATCACCTCCTAGCCTATTACCCCAATCCCCAGGTTCATGAACAACACATATTGAGTTTTAAATAGAACAGGCCTGAAGTCCAAATCCCAGCCAATGACGAATGACCATCTTCTCACCTACTGAATCTGATCTTAGCCCATGTTCATAAACAAGAAATTTTGAACTTTGATCAGACCAGGCTTAAAACCTGACAAAAGATGCCAAGAATTAGGCCCAAATCAGAGCCAATGATCATGTCTTCACAACGCCAACTATCTTGTTTTTTGGCTTGCTAAAAGGTGTCATGGAACAGGAAAAAACAGCTTTTACCATGTAAACATACAACAGAATTAAAATGGTAACATGATGGCTTCTGGGAAAAAATAAAATAAAATAAACTTTGACAAATTTGATTCAGAGAGCATCTTAACAGGAAGAATGAACTTTCGAGAAAGAAACTCATCGTAGGAAGAGATAACCTGTATATCTACAACATGACGAGATGGCAAGCAAAAGACCCATTCAACTTGTAGAAAATTAAAGTGCAAATCTTGGGATCAGCAAGGCTTGATGGAGGAATCCATCACCTAATATGCTTAAAAATCATATAGCAAACTGATATTTAGTGAAACAAACCTGCAGTGTCCAGCATTTAACACATCACACATTGACCAAAATGAGAGCGCATCATTGCTTCCTGCACCTCCACCATCAACATCAAGGTGTGCCCAAAAGTACATGACATCTCCTTTGCTTCCTTGTATTGTTTCTTCTAGAACTTTTTCAGCTTTTGTTGACAACGAAACCTATTTAACAAAAAAGGCTAAGCAGTCAATAATTGCTAACTCTAAAAATTGATACTAATAAACTTGAAGCAAAAGATACAAGAACTGCAGCAAAAAAGGGATCTCTCTAGTTTTGGGAACTTTTTCTTTTTTCTCCTTTAAACACTAGCAATATGAGGGCAGATTTGAAGGTAAAAGAGAGTAAACAGATGAAAGCTGAGAGAATATGAGAGCAAGCAACTCTTCCTTGATTACACTGAGTGCAGAGGAGAGTAAAGTAGCACATTTTCCACCATTATCATTGCACCTTAAGAAAGTTATTACAATAAATATTGAGGGGTAAAAGAGAAATCATCAAGCAGAATACTCTCCTCTCAAATCCTCCTGAAATGAAAGGATTAAAAAAAGTGAGATTATTGGGGGATTGGAGGGATTTGGTTCACCTTCAAACCATCCCTCAAAACCCCAGAACTCCCCTTTCAAAAATAAAAAATAAAAAACTTCTTAACAGGATAAAGTAAACCATTTACTCCCTTCACTGAACTCTGTTATACACCCCTCCCACCAATCACAAAACAGTAAGAAATTTGAAAACAAGAAGTTGGTTCTTAATACTCAAGCTAATATTCAAACATTGAACACCATATCAAATATCAATATAAGGAATACCTTCCTACCAGCAGCATGCCATGATTGAAAACCAATCCAAGGTCTCTTGTGAATGTTATCCACCCTATTTGCAATAGAGAACATTCCTCCAACTTCACACAATAAATCCCTATAGTAAGTATCATTCAAAAGTGGAAGTCGGCCAACTGCATCCACATCATCTGATCTCAACCTCCTTGCTCTTCTAGACTGGCAAATAAAATGAGTAGTTAGAAAATGTAAAAACTTCTTATTTCACATACATCATTTTTCAATAGCCTAACAAATAAAAAAGGAAAGCTCCTCTACAAGGGAAGAAAAAGACTAAGGAGCACTACAGCAAATACAAGCCATCAGTTATAAATAAATAAGTTGACAACATTAAGAAAAGGGGTGCAAAGGGGGTGATGGTGGGCAAGCTATGATCTCTACAAAGTTTGTTCCATTGCAAATTTTGCATGTCAGACTCTTAAGCAAGCATGCTTATATCCACCCTTTGCAAGAAAATTCAAGCTACTCAAGAATACACAAAAAAAAAAAAAATCAAAGCTTTTTTGTCAAGAACTATATGATTATATTGTTTATACAATACTTTCTGCACCATGATTTCTCTTCAATCAAATCAACACTCGATCATAATTAAATATAAACGTTCCAGTTCATAAAATCACAAAAACACTTATGATAAAGTGATAACACAGCATGAAGAAGTGTAACAAAGATTGATAAAAAGATAAAATGCCAAATATGGTTTAGGAGAAACTCACAAGACTTAGCCCACGGTACAAAGATCCGTGGTGCAAGAATGGCCAGGCCCCAGCCCCACCATAGATCTCATAAATGCATACAGGTTGACCTGTCCTTTCTAGCTCTCCCTCATCTCTTTCATTTGCCTCAAACTTCAGTTTCTCAGATCTCCGAGCATTTCGATATATCTCATCCCATACACCAGGATTTCTCTCCATTCTTTCATTAACCTATAGATTTGAGGGGAAAAACAAACATTTTTTCACATCACAGTTTATTCATGATAATGTTAAAAAACAATAGAAAGAAAATAGTAACATGAGGAGAAAAAGACAGGTGGGGAGAGATCCAAAACAAAAGGCTATAATTATGAAGTATTACTATACCTCCTCCAATTCAAGTCTTTCATAATCTTCAAAGTTCTCTATTTCCGTCACGATATCCAGGTCTTGTTCAGTAAGGATATCCTGAATCTCAGTCCGATTCTCAGAGATGTCAATGATGTGCTTGGTGAATTCCTCCTCAAGGGCATAAACAACACTAAGATCTTCTGAAATATCACTGTTTCTTTGTTCTATTTCCTGCCTAAAAAGATTCCATTCCCACGATCCCTGCTGAAGTTCAGAAACACGAGCCGGCAGCAAGACATCTGATGGGAAATTGAGTAAATTCTCCAGAAGGATTGCATAACCAGTTATGCATTCGGATGCAAGAATGTTCTTAGCAAGCAATCTTCCAGAAGAAGCAACTGTTTGACCAAATCTAGAAAGTCTACCATTTGAAGTCAAAAGCGAAAAAGCCCTCAATAAAGCATCAGGGTGATGTTTTGGGAAAAAAACACCATGGGTTCCATCAACAACCTACCATAAAAGGGCAGCTTAAAATGTAATACAGAATAGAAAGTCCCCTCACCCTTTTCTCTCTCTCTCTCACACACACACACAAATCATAAAATATGAACTACAAGGAAAATAATTTAAAAGGACCTACATATTTTTTCATGATTGGAAAATCAGGTGTGATGACAGGAATTCCAAAGGTCATGGCCCGGATAATTAATGGAGGAAAACCCTGTTCTTCTTGGGAGGAACCATATAGAACAATGTCAGCCATTAATAAAACTCCATTGGCATCATCATCCAAGCCATAATGCCTAACAGAGCCTTGAGTAAGTCCTAGTCGTGATGCAGCTTGCTGCATAGAAGCACAAGGCATGACATCAGTCTTGAAGGAAAGAACACTAAGCCAGCAACGAACCTCAATGCAGTGTGCCGAACACATCAATAATATTGAATAGTAGACAAATGGAAAATTACATGACAGCTTCTTATGCTATCCTCTCCAGGGTTTGCAATCTTAATCTTATTAATGCTCTAAGCCTCTATCCCACCTTCTAGCAACATATAAATGATTGGGAAAAAAAGTTTGGCCATACTACAATTTATAAGTTTGTAACTGAAATAGAATAACCTGAATTAAGGGCGACAAACAAATTACAACTGAATGACTTAAGTTGGACATCCCAACTAAATAGCAAAATCAGGTATAATTCATGAAGAAAATGATGATAAGTTGTTTGAAATAACTCATATAATCCATGCAATAAGACAGGGCATATTTCTCAGTTACCATTTTGATGTATTGTTTCCCTTTTCACATTAATCACACAACATTAGGCAATAAACTTGTTTCAGTTCAAAATGGGGGCATCAACAAGCATGAAGGAAAGATATGAGGAACTTATGAAGAAGCATATCTAAAACATATATACATACATATATATATATATATATATATATGATGCACCCATCTACAGTTGACTACCTGTAAAGCATCATTATATCCATCAGTGGAGTTACCACTCAAGAAAATAAATTTAAATGACCCTCCTGCATCATTTCTCCTTGCATATCTCATAAGGAGAGGTCCGATAGTGTGCATTGCAACAGCATAGTCCCATGATAACTCATCATAGAAGAAAGAACTTCCAACAATCAGAACCACCATATCATCCATACTAAATCCATTGTCCTTCCGTAGTTGATGCTTTGCATGGGACTTACTGTAACTTTCTGCACCCCACACATCCACAGGCGATCCATGAACTACAAGGAAGTTTCCAGTGTCTAGCTTGCTATATAACATCTGGTACAGGAAGGAATAGAAATTGAGAAACTGCATAAGATGTCTAATACAATGTCACCTAGAAATTCTGTGCGGAAGTATAGACAGAATGTCAGATTTACCGGTAGCGTAAAATCAGGGAACACAATAACATTGGCCCTGGTAAAAGAGCTTTTCCAATTAGAAACAAGATGCTCCAAGCCCATCTCCTCGTAGACAGGAAGACGTTTTGCGAGAGTATCTTCTTGAATTATCCATATAAGTGGTATTGTATCAAAAGGCTCCTGCATAAGGCTGCATAGATATAAAACTCACTAATCATAGCATCTCAAACTAAAACAAAACATATAGAATTTGGAGTACTGAGAAAATCTGTACATGTTAGAAAGAACCAGCAAGCTAGATATAGATGATACCTTGAGATGGCTTCTTTTGCTTCAAGAGAATCAGCAATAACACCTTCAAAACTGTAGAAAATGCAAGCAAACATATATAATCAAAGCCAAGTAAGCAAAAAGAAACAAAATTCACCACAAAAATTGTCACAAAAAATTCAAACATAAACCACTTTGCAAACTGCACATATAGATAAAACCAATATAAAAATAAATGAAAATAAAGACAAAAAAAAAAAAAAAGAGAATCCACAATACATGAATTAGGTAACATACATTGACCAGTCAATGTGACCAAATTGCTCTGGACCTAAGAATGAAATCTGACCACTTATGTGCTCCCATGTCGAAAGTGCTTTGCCATTTCCTAGTGCATAAATCTGTCAAATTGACATTGTAAGGACCCATTATATTTTCTGAATTAATCAGTGCATAAAATACTAAACTTTCATGCTTATGCTGTTAGAAAGCAAAGCCATGCATACACAAGTATTAACACTTCGAACATATCGTAGAAGTTATAAAATATGCTATATCATAAAATCTGTTGTGTGTGCATATCCAAAAAATAGGGAGTACTATATGGAAATAAAATTTAAAAAAATTATTCACCTTAAATACATAGCCAAGTCTCTGAAGACTCTTTACCACAGTAACCAACATCAATGACTGTGGGTCTTTCTTCATTTTCCCCAAAATCTGTCAAATTATCAAGAATGCAAAATGTAAATGCAAAACTCAAACCACTTCAAATACAGAAATACCATAAAGAAGGTGCTTTTAATGCAAGGTGTGGTGCTAAATGATGCTTTTAATGCAAGAAAAACTTATATATTCTTAAAATTACCACCTCCATAAAGATTAATTAGATTTCTTCAAGTATTCAGTCCTTTGCCTCACAGCAACTCCCAATGGGTTTATATTATTATACTTGCTTAATTCCTAATTAAGTTACTGCAATCTTAATAAGCCATCAGAACTTCTTACAACCAAAGCATAAATAGTATAAAACACCTATAACTCCAATTAAAGAAGCCACAACTCTTTACTTCTAATCGTTTTTCTCCCCTTTTTCTCTTTTCTTTATGGCACAATTTGTCTTTTTCTTTTCTGTACTTCTTTTTTGGAAGAAGGGTAAATTTAAAAAGAAAATAATTCTTATACAATAACTGGTAACTCACTTCATGTATAATGCCAAATATAATTAATTGCTTGTTTGGCAAGATATTCATAAAAATTGGATAAACCATTGAAAACGAAAATTCATGAAATTTTAACTTTCGACCATAAATTCCCCAATGTAAGTTTTTTTTTCTCATCTAATTCCCTCATGTTCTATTTAAACTTTTTCTATTTTAATTTCTTCTTAATTCTTATTAGATGTAAAATGTCTCAAAAATCATAAAGTCAGTCTTTTTCCAAGAAGAAATCAAAACCTATTCAATTTTCAATTTTCACTCCACCAAACAGTTTCCATCATGTAAATTTAGTACTAAAAATTTCATTGCTAAAGTTCAGTACTTAATTTTTCAAAATTTCAATTTATCAAACATCATGTAAGAATAAAGGAATGAAATTATTTACTATGAAGCTTGATAAAAAAAATTGCAAAACAATTTTTTGCTTAAATCCAACCAACAATTTAAAGAAAGAAACCCATAACAATGCCATCGAGTTAGCCTTTCAAGTTCTCAATCACCAAATGCTACCTACATCTATTTTTAAAACGTAAAAAGAAACTCATGAGCAATTCATTCATAACTAAAGTAATGATAATCTTAAGCGCTAAAGAATCACCAAAACTCCTAAACAAACATGCAATTCCAAACTTAAAAATTCAATTCGGCCAAGCCATTACTTAACAATTTTAAAATTAAAAAGAAAAAGAATATAAAACTTTAATAAACTAATTAAAAATCATGAACTGCCAACAGAGACAAAAAATAAATGGAATCATGAACTTTTAAGTTTTGGTTCAAAAGTATCAAAGAGAAGTGTTTCAAGTGCACTTAACACTCTAATGAAAAATAAATATCTAAAATACTAATTCATATCTAATATTTAAAATCTAAAACTTAAAATAAAATTCCAATTCACATTAAAACTGCAAACACAAATAAATAAATAAATAAACATCTCAGCTTCACATTAATTAATCCAATTATTTAAAAAAAGAAAAAAGATTCACTCACAAGAGCAAGTCTTGGGCCACGAACGCCAATCCTATCAGTCAATCTCATCCGATCAAGTCCGCCGCCTTCGGCGAGCCGCTGTGAGATCCCTACCGGCATAAACTTCAACGAGCTCCCGAACCTCATACCTTCTCTAACAGACCTCTTCCAACCCCTTTCTCCTCCTTGCTTAAACAGCATCGCTGTAATTGAACTCTGCATCACCATCGACGCCACAGCGAAGGCAAAAACCGAAAAAAATATCAAAAAATAGAACAAATAAATGCCTCGAAAAGGAAAGAGCAATAATCCTTTCCGGTTGAACCGGGGACGGGTCCGGACTAAAGGCCGGTCGAGGAGAGAAGACTGTTTGGTTCGGTCCCTGGTGTGGGCAGGGTTTCTTTTGAGAGGAAATCGATCACGGATCGAGTAGTATCCTTGATCGTTGTTGTTATCACTGTTGTTGTTAATGGTGTTATTTTTGCCATCTTCGTCGCCATTGCCGTCGTGTCTCAGAGGAGACGAGTTTCGGCCCATAGGAAGTGGTTCCTTCTTTTTTTTTTTTTTTCCTTTATGTTATTTCTCGAGAAACTGACGGAAAATTTTCAGAGAGAAGCTTTTGTTAGAGTCGGCTTTGAGAGAGATATCTAAGAGTGAAGGAGTCGAGTAGTTATTGATTTAGTTTTTTTTTTTTTTTCCGTTTTTTAGCCATTTATGAAATTTTATTTTTCTTTTGTTTTTTTTTTTTTTGGAAAAACGGTGGCACAAAGTCCACGCGCCAATCATAAAACCCGTCAAATTAGTTGTTTTTATATTTTTTATAGAATTTATTTTTCTTTTTCGAAAAAAAGTATACAAATAATTATCAAACAAATACAGCCATGACTAATTGCAAGATTTCTTATTATTTATTGATGGATTAATTGAGATCAAATGACAAAATTGTCCTTATAAAAAGGGTAAATTTTTTTTTTTTGGGGGGGGAAAAATAGAAGGCTATTTACATTTCTACTAACATACCCATCAATGTAAGGGGATGATTTTCAATTAACAATCATCGGGTACTGAACTTTGCTCATATTCAAGACATTGACAGCAGAAGCCATCAAAAAATGAAAGGAAAATAAAACAATGGAAAGGAAAAATATACATGAATGATCAAAAGGGCTAAACTTCAACATTTATTGCTTGAACAATTATTTGGTAAAATCAAATTTTCACAATTAATTATGTCTTGTTTTGTTCATCATTTAGATTTTCTCAATAACTATTCTACAACAGTTTAGTATTGCTGTGATTAATGCTTATTTCAAACAAAATTTACATCTATACACTACAGCATGTCCTGTTTTGCATTCTCAGTTCACTCTTCATCAGGGTAGGATTCAAGCAACTGTCTAATTTTCTCTCGTTCTTCCTTTGTAAGATCAGGATCCTCACTCGTCAACCTCTTCCGAACTGCTGCATTGATACTGCTTGGATCATTGTCCACAACCTGCACCCAGAGGCACATAAACATCAGAGTTTCTGCATTGCATGATACGATAAAATATAAGAGGGTATGTAAAGGGTGCCTAGTTCATCGAGGGCTGCTTTAAAAGAGGAAATTATGGCTAGCTAATATAGCTTTGCCACATTGTGGCTAGCCGATAGAGCCATTCCTGAGGGTCCTCTGTGAACAAGGTTTCTTGAGGGCTTAATAGTACAAGATTGACGTTGGCCCTTGACAACCAGCAAGTAGAAAGTGGAATCTTACATCAAGGAAATTGTTGACATGGCCATCTTTGTTAGGAGTTGTTACCAGCTCAAATTCATTGCATGTCCATTCACCATCAACTATATACTTGTACTCGTAGCTTCCTTCCTGTTAAAGAAAGAGAAAACGTACATCTTATAATTTGGTCTAGTTATATTGACATGACTTTCCATTTTCGATGTAGCTTTCTTCAAGAAAAAAATCTCTAGATTGACAAATACCTCAGGTAAAAAAACCATATTAACAATTTACATCTGTACTGGGTCATACTGTTTGTTAACCTGAAATCTATTGCCTATCAATGCATCATGAAGCAACGAAATAAGAATTCTGTGCTATGTTCCCATGAGTATTAGACCTGCTGCAGGCAAGGACATGATATTATGTAGCATTTACATTGCTTGAATAAGAACTAGGGTTGAAGAACTGGTACCCAGGACAAGGGAATGCAAGTTGAGAGGCTCAGTATAACTGAAAAGTTAACAATACGCAAATGGATATTGATTCTCCAAACCATGAGTGACTACTAGGCAGAAATTTTGGTGCCAACAGGATGCTCAATTAAGATAAAAGAGAAATATGAAAAGGAACAGGACAAAGAAAGAACAACAAAGCTGTAGCTGGATGCATGTAGGATAATTGTTAATGCAGGGGTTTGAAACACAGGCAAATGCAAGAGTACTTCACATAGTTCTGCATTTAAGAAATTAAAGACAACGAAACACATTCCTACAAAAGTAATACAATTACCGGCAGTTCTCTCAGGAGAGTCCATGAACCATGTTCCCTGTCAAACTTCAAAGGTATTCTCTGGACAAAAAAGACAACATAGATAGAATGATCAAACAGCTGAAAGTGAAATAATTAATAAGTATATCATCTTAAAAATGATGAATAATTCCAATCCACTGATCTATTCCTAAAATCTCTCTTTCACTTTTGCATGAAAAGGGAAACTAGATCCACAAAGATAAACCAATGCAGTAGCAGACAATTCTCAATCCATTACAGAGAAAACCAAGAACCTTTTATATGCAACAAAATTAGTTTGTTTCTGTATGACATGCTGGATATAGCTTCAAGAATCTACCCTTTGGGATATAGGTGCCACATGGAACAGTGGATCATTCATCACATAGGATGGTTTTGTACTATTTACTGAGTTTTATGGTTTTTAAGGATTAGAAGTAAATTTGCATGACACATCGGGTGCAGACCTGATGAAGATATACTGAGAGAAGTGCCTGCTTGAACTAAACTGGCCTATTCTAAATGAAGTTGACCTTTTGAAAAGAAAAAATCATCTAACACTTACTTTCAAATATAAATTAATAGAAGGAAATTCTTGCACCTCAATGTGCTAATAAATTAATAGAAGACCATTACCTGGCCCCATCCAATATCAAGTCCAGAAACTTCCACTGTAGAGCACTTGCTGTCTTCCCATGTCAAAGTGACAAGCTCCTTCTTGAGATCCGTAAGCTTTACATTGAGAAAATATGATAAAATCAGTTTGCAATAATTCCTTATTTGATATATAATACTTATATACCAAATTAAAAAAAATAAAATAAAATAAAACAAATAACTGACAACATGAAGCCCGTGCTTCAGTGAATATTGCAATTAACAGTGTATTACACATCCAAAAAGCAAATGCTTTTCAGTGACAATATGAAGATAATGCTTAAGAAATACTGCAATTAATACTATATTACACACCAAAAGGAAGAATGTTTTGCAATTTCATGAACTCAAGAAGCAAAGAATGAAATAGATTTCTACATTTCTTAATTTCATTTTAGTTCTACTCCTTGCGAAAATACACTGCAAATCATAACATGCTTTCATATTAACCAAGAAAGTATGCTGTCAAAGGAGAGAGGGAAAGAAAACAGAGAAAGTGTGGTGCAACTCCCATAGATTTACAGTTACATGATTACTTTTAGTTGTCACTATCTTTTGCAGGTACAGGACAAATAAACAAATAAAGTCATCAAGAATACAATTACCTTTATAATCTTGAGACATATCGATTTTAACTGGGCTTACCAAAAGAAAATAAGCTATATCGAAGAGCTAGGGAATGCAAAGCATAATATACAAGAGGAATGCCTTAACTATATGAGAAAGTGGACATATTAATGCCTCATAATGGCAGTAATTCTAACCGCAGATTAAGGAAAAGGGCTTGCAATCTTGCATGCTTCACACATTCAATATATTTTTGCGCTACAAAAAGCATGGAAACTACTAAAAATTGTCCACAAAATCAAGCAGTATTAGTATAAAATTGCATCAAATAACTCATTCTGCTCCTCAAACAAAAAGGAAAAAAAGAACAAACATAAACAATTTCAAATAAACAACTTCAAACATCCAAAAAAGAAACAAAAGTTTTAAGGCTTCATGAATCATTATGCCTATGGTAATAGAAGGAAAATCACTCACAATATCAGCAGTTGCACTTTTGATGGCATCCAATTTAGGGAAGCATGAGCGTTTGCTCTAAGAGAGAGGAAACAAAAAAATATATCAGAGATGTTGCAAGATACGCCACACACATTATTGACTATTGACAATGCAAAAAACTATTGTTGATGAATCATTTATAAAGTCAGAGAGAGAAAGGAAAAAACAGGAGCAAGTCTAGAGATTACTATCCAACCAGTTTTAACCCCAAATTTTCCAAAATTAGTTCCAGAACTATACAATCTAATTTTTAACTAGAATTATATCTATGAGAAGGATTGAGTAACAAATCACCTATTCAAGTTTCAGGAACCAGAGGGACTTTAGGGTGTGTCTTCTGTGATTAGAAAAGAAAAAAAAAAAAAAAAAAAACTGAAATTAAATCCGACTGTCAGTACTAACTATTGAGTACCCTAGATCAACAAGCACATGGTCAGTAATATATACAACAGCTAACTTGAAGGCACTGGTTATTGTCATATTGATAAAGCCAGAAGTTCTGATACCATAACTATGACCCTTGCATTTAAATTGTTGCCATTTAGACTGAGAGATTCTCAACCATGTGGCTCACATTGCAAATACAATCACAGTAATAATTACATGAACAAGTTAGGGCTTCATAAACTTAATTAAAAATATGTCCTTATTGTCAATAATATTGATTAAAGATATAGTTCATCAACCCTAAAATGTTAGAAATTAATCCTGGCACCCAAAATGCACTGACTCTTCTAATGGTTTTAATCCGTTGATAAATTTAGATAGACAGAGCCTGCTTAGGTCTCAGATTATTATCCAAAAAGAATGATAAGCATGGAGACAAAAGAATAGATACCAGCAGCAATCTGTGTGCTTCGCTAAGTTTATAGCCTTGAACCCAGAACATATATGACATCTGTCATTAATAACAACAAAAATCTACAGATTACTATGACAGATAAATTAAAGGAAACAAAAGATTTCTCATTTCATGAAAATTGGGTTTTGAAAACAGGACGGTAAAAGACATTTCAGAAAAATAAATGAGTTGAATACCGCAACAGCAGGAGCTCTTCCAAGTCCAGCCGTACAATGTATATATGTCACACCTCCATTCCGATTTATGGCCTTGTATAATTTACTAACCACGGCTGGAAGCCGCATCCGTAAATCAAATGAATCGAAGTCCCTGCTTCATCAAATATTAAGATCACTATATTAACAAAAAAATGGACTTCTAATAACGAAAACAGATACTTCAGCTTAACAAGTTCAGGTATCAGTGATAACAAAAAGAAGTTGTTAAGTGTTAACAACAAAAATAATCACTACTTTCTCTCATAGCATTACAAATAATGTTTTTCACTATGAAACCTCATTACAATATAATGATCACTCAATTGTTATGTCTGACCTTATTTGAGCACGTATGTGTTCAACATCACCACATTTCTTGGCATAA